CTACGTTGAAAAGCCCCTGTGATCATGTTGTTCTAAAATGTTCCTCTTTAAACAAAGTGACTTTGGATTCTGGGCATTTGAGCTGGTAGCTGCCGGGAAACGTTAAGACTGTTTGGAGACCTTTGCCCCAATTTTCCATGTTTCTGTGCTTGAATGAACAGCCTGTCTCTTCCCAGACTTCCCTAAACCAGTCATCCTGTGGTCGGGGGACGGAGAGGGCACAGGGGTCTGCATGTGAGGGGTCTATTCAGTAAGAGCTTGGATGAAATAGGGTTGGATGTCAGGTTTATTCTGCTCTTTTCTACCATTTATTGAAAGTGATCTGACTAGAATGTTAGGTTATATCTCAATATTATCCATGAATAATTTAAATGTAGAGAAAATAAAAGGGTTTTATAATGAAACTTCCCTTTCAAAGTTTAAATCACGTTGTTTGAAACCTGCTGCTCCAAATACTCTGCTGGTAATCCTCGCTCTGTTAGGTGCTTAAATGTAATCTAATTAAACAAAGTGTTTCCGTCTAATTGGCTTCCAGATTAGTTCAGACCCTTAATCAGGTCATAAAATCAGATAACATAAATAAAATGTCTCTGCAAACATTAATTATGTCGACAGACTAATAAACTATTGATCTGGTTTCTCTTTAAGCCAGTAGCACATAAAATACAACCCATTATGGTGATTACTTTACTGCTCTTGGAATATTTAATGAGGAGTGCAATAATTCATAAATCTTTGCGGTTTTACTTATTTTAGGAATATCATCCTCCAAGGGTAAATCAAATGCATCTAATTTAGAATCACTAATCAACCTAATAATCATGTGTTTGGACTGTGGGAGGAAGCTGGAGTACCTGGTGAGAAGCCACACATGTGAGAGGAGAACCTGCATGAAGAGCCTGGGCTGGGAATCAAACCAGAGACCTTTTTACTGCAAGCAAAGGTGCCACAAACTCATCCGAATGCCTTGTTAGCAAATTACAGAAGGTTAGCTGGCTAACATGTGTTAGCTACAGTTAGCTTCTCCAACATGCAGGGGCGGATTTAGGAAATTTGAGGCCCTAAGCAAAGACAGGCAGGGGGCCCTCTGAATGGAGAAGACAACACAT